TCTTTCTTCTACTTGCAGTTGGAGAAGATTATTGGAAAGTTGAAGGCAGATAAATATGGGAAGAAAATACTAGACGCAATTGACAACTACGAACCTAAGCACCAAATGGATGATGATTTTTCAGATGAGGGGCAAGGTACTGCAGGCAGAGCTGCTAAAAAGTCAAGAACCAAAAAAGGTCTTGTTGTCATCGATAGTAGTGGAGATGAAGCATGAAAATATATGCAGTGTCAGAACCCGATTGCCAACTATCAGTATTGTAGATTTTTGCGCATTTGTCAGCAATTCATCAACGATTCTTCAGGTGAAAGGCAGGATATTGCTGGCCGAGCTACTAACGAGTTAAGGGGGAAAAAACTCTTTTTGTCATTAAACATGGCTATTGAATAACATGACTAGTGTTCTATTGAGAGGGGCTTTCAGATTATCATTATTAGGATTTAATATTGTGGAAACATTTGTATAATTTAGTTATCTGTCGCTGATTTATTTATTTAAAACAAGTATATAGTAGCTGCTGCTGGATTTTTAGTAGTGGAAGTGACAATGAAAATGGGGAAATCAGTAATTATAACATTTTTCTTAAGACTCAAATTTAAAAATAGTAGTAAATTACAAGTAAATAAAAAAGTTAAAATATCTCATTTGGCTTGATTTGTCGACTTGTTCGCAATTTTTTACCCTTTTTAAAATTGCTTATAACTCCGGCTCACAAATTCAACCGGAAAATTGATTTTTTTCACAATAAATGTAAATTTTCAACTGCTAATGCATCCACTATGACAATTTTAAAAAGTCAGTATGACGAGGGTTACGTCTTAGCTTGGCTCGGTCCAAGTCTTCAAGGTTGCCAGCCAAGGTAAGACGTTGCATCATAATCTTCACATTTATTATTTTTATGGTAGCATTATGAATGTTTTAAATCTATTTATTTTTTCATGCTGCATAGTTTTGAGATATTACTCTTACTTTTGGCAATATTTTTTTCTTTCCCGTTAACAGAAAGTTATATTTATATAATAAAACCATAATATACATTCAAGAAAATATTATTTCATAATAATTAGTAAGTCTTACTCATCCAAATGAATCAATTCGATTCTAATTCTTTTTTAAAAAGGAAAAATAAATCCATTCTAATTGACGTTAAGTGGGCCTTAAAAATTACTGACCCATCAATAGGAAGGCTTTGCTATCAAATTAACAGGCTGCGTCGGGTATGGATCGTTGTTCTCGTATTTTTATCTATTTTTTTTATTTTTTTTCTCATTTCATTTTTTTTTTTTAATAAAAGAGAGACCCCTGAGTATCAAAATCAAAACCCTCGTCCCTATTTCACTTCACATCCCCACGGAATTACAATTAAAAAGAGAATTTTCCTCACAAGATTTTCTCCAGGTAATTCTAATTTTTATGCGTGTGTGTGTTGGTGTGTATACGTATTGCGTAGTGTCGTGAAGCATTCAGTTTAATGACGGTTAATTAATGGATCCGCATTATATGCTTGATTATAAATTTATCACGGGTATTTCGAATTTTTTTTCTTTTCGGGAATTGATTTCATCGAATTGAGATTTTTAGTTTAATCTTTAAATGCATGAGCTCTACTGGTTGTTTCTGAATTATGGAATAGCCTCTGAAATTGAATGTTATTTTAATTTTCGAGTAAAGGGATAGCGTTTTTTGGCTTCTAATTTTATTTTCGGTGAATGCTAGGGATATGTTTACGGTGGCTCTGTAATCAACGAGTTACATGCAAGAGGTGGAAGTAACTGGGAAATGTTACTGGATGATGCCGGATTATTATCATTTAATCGAAGGATCACTCAATTGAACGATATATTTCAAAATTAAAAAATGGCTCAGCAATCATCGCGGCTTAACCGCCTGCTCACTTTATTGGACAGTATCCATATACATACTCGGATATAAATACAATATTACAAGTAGATTTGTATATAATTATGTCTGCAGTATGCAATTGACACGTAGCATGCTTGCAGGTCTCAAAATTGTTTAAGTTGTAGGTTAACTTTTATCTTGTAAGTAGCTACACGGTTATTTAGTGGGAAGATGTCAATATCTCATGTATTTGAAAGGCAGGTTGGCCATGTGTACTGGTATTTTCTATCGAATTTGCAAAAAATCAATCCTTTTATTTTAACTTATGTTGTGTACCTGGCAAGTACCGATGAATATAATACATCAGATGCTTTTTCTTTGCTATTTCTTCTTCTTTTGTGTTTTTGGTGTCAATTGGTGTTAGTGTGGCATAGTGTTTTTCTTTAATGAAAGCTAAGCGGGTTCGACCAAAGGAACAAGGTTTACTGCGGCCAGGCAGATAGGGGAAATTGCCAAATCACATCCTCAGGACCTGAATTCTCTGTTGAGCAAGGTAGTGTTACTACTTAGAATTTGTTAGTTCAGATGAGTACTTGCGTTCACTCTATATCATGTTTTGGTCACACCTGTTCCATAGCTTGTGTAATTTGGTAGCCTGATTTCATTTCTTCACTGGGGGCAAAAATCATGTCATATCAGTTCTTATTAGCTTAATTTTGCATAAATTTTGGTGTCATAACTCATAATGTTGTTTTGCAGCAATAGTTTGATTAGATAATGGTCCACGGGTAAGATAATGTCATTGAACAGGCTCCAGATCAACTTTCAAATATTAGCTCTGAATGTGCCAAGTGAATTTTGTTAATTTCTTAGGGTGTAGCACCGGGTCCAGTTTAAATTTTCTTAATTTTGACCTTTCATTTTTATAACATCCAGGTGTCCCAATATCTGCGCAGTAAAAAGTGGGATACCAGGGTTGCTGCAGCTCATGCCATAGGAGCTATTGCCGAGAATGTTAAACATACATCTTTGACCGAGCTCTCTAATACTTTTGAAATAAGATTGTCAGAAGCTGGGATTTCTGGCACCTTCACCGACATTATGACACGGCCTGACGTCAATCCTGAAAATTCAGCAGGCACTTCTTTTAGAAGGTTTATTTTCTTGTCTTTTATATATAATATTATGCACACCACATATTCCTTTCATTTTACTGGTCATTCATTGCTTGCATGATGGCATTTAGCTGTCTAAGTTGTCTAAATATTCAATTCTGAGTAAAATTTCTACTTCCACAGTTTTGATCTAAACAAGGTGTTGGATTTTGGTGCTTTGGTATCATCTGGTGGACAGGTACTTTCCTTCCACTCCATCTCCCAAGGGCACAAAAAACAAAAGAATTTGTTTCTTCACAAAAGATTTATTCCTTTTTATACATGATTGGACGTTCATCTGTTCTATGCTTGTTAACAGATATATATTTTTTTATTGTCTCTCTACAACTTATTTTGTGTTTGCCTTTGGTTTTATTAACTGATTATCATTCCGTCTTCTTTTCTTTGTGGTTTGTTCCACTGGATTATAATCATCGTAAGAATTTGCTGGCATGATTTATTTTTATGCTTTTGTTTGGTTGGGTGGTGCAAACCAAAAATTAGTAAATATCTTGCTGCAATTAGTGAAACACACCAAGTGCATTTGTTATTTTGTCTCGTTTAAATGCAAAACGGGACAATAGATGAAATTTAATATGGCTTTGAGGGGTATGAGCTCTCTCTCTCTCTCTCTCTCTTTTTTTTTTTTGCTTTTAAGATAGATTGAAAAAACTAAATGTTTTAGCTATTTATCTCCAAGATCACTAGAGTTTGGTTTGTTTCTTCTTATACTATATCAGTGATTGATGTTATTATACAGTGGATGAATATCTCCAGCAACTTGTGAGCAGTTAATATCTTACTGAAGGTTATCAACAGTTTAGTATCCTGATAGTGAAAATATGATACTTGCTCCAGCAACCATGATTTCTCTACCAAGGGATTATTGATTTATGAAACTGTGAATTTGGAATAGTATCATATAATTATTGCTTGTCTTAAATTACATTTCAAATGCCATCCACAACTTCAATATGATTGTATATAGAGAGGAACTTCACTCATCAACTAATAAATTACTTTAGTCTCCCTACACATCCTTAAATTATTTTTATTCTTAAATCTAATAAATAATGTGAAGTTATGTTCACAATTGTGCAAGGACTTCCTTCTCCTGCATAAACTACCTTCATTTAACTTTTTTGAAAATACATTTCATGCCTTTTCCAGATATAAAAGTCATTTTAAATGATATATTTTGCTATTCTTACAATTTTCTAGCAAATAATTTTTAACGATTTGGCCTCTATGTCCAAACCGTTAACTTATGTACTATTTGCTTTGAGATAGCCTGAGCCCATTTTACTCCTCACGAATTTCTATTGTGTTCCCATAATTTGAACCTTTGATCTTTCCCTTAAGTAAGATTTAAGTTGAATTTTGATGCCGATTTGACCACCTCTTTGACCCCTGAGAGACTGGAGAAATATGTTCACATTGTGACCCTTTGCACGAGCAATTACATAGACAATTTGCACGACAATCATATAGCAGTCACGTTAATAAGAGCAGCAATCAATCCATTTAACAAGGGGGGTCCAAACTAATATTTTCTATTTACAGTAATAAAATTCCAGCATTATGACACTTTCATTTAATTAATATCCATAAAAATTGATCAAAAAGTGCCACATCATTTTTGACATCAACATTTTTATATATAAGTATACTCAAATATATATTCCCTTTTGACTCTATTCCTCTTAAACTTGATGTGACTTAAAAGATTTGATTCAAGAAACACGCTTTATATGAAATTGGTGCTAGTATTCAACTTAAGTCTTACATAAGAGAAAGATCATGAGCTCGAATCTTGGGGACACATACAATTCTTGAAGGATAAAATGGGCTCAAACTATTTAGAACGGACAATACGTAAGTTAACGACTTGAACACAGAGGCCGGGTTATTATAAAAAATTCTCTTTTTTATTGTAACGACCCAAGCCTACCAAGGATTTAACTAAAGTCTCTCTTAAGGGGAGTTCATTTGTTCAAATCCCGATGAACGCGACAGAAAGCTATGAGGGATAAGAGGGCAGAGGCCATCCCAAAGCGGATAGTACGTATGATATAATGGTTTGGGCACGAGGCCTCGGTTGTTACAATATTCCATAGACCCTTAAGTGATATATATAACTATTCACAAGCTTTGAGTTTGCCAAAGTGACTAGTTAACATATTAGTGCTTGTCTAGATCTCCACACTGAAAGATTTATTCACTAATAAGCACACTTTCTTAGCCCCCAATCCCCAAAGCTTCATTTTCTTGACGGTGCGGATAGGCCAATTTTTGTTCAATATGAACTATGCCCATTAACGTGGCACAAGAAAATCTGACCAGCTTTCTTTTTTACTGGCATTTTTGTGGTGACCTGTGCCGACGTTTCACCACTTATAAACCACTATCACTGTCATTATTAACTCACAATTCATGACCAATAGAACATCAGCCCTAGATCATAGTTAGCCCTGTTTGACCCCCATTTTTGGGTGGAAAATGTTGGCTAATGTACGGTTCAAAAATAAGATTTTTTTTTTTTTGGATTTACGTGTAAAATTATTTTTTGGAAGAATGTGTAGTTGAAAATAAGTTTTGGAAAAAACGAGTTTTTGAGAAAATGGAGCCCGGGCTTAAAAACAGAAAGATATAAATAGAGAAGAAAATTGAAGATCAATGGCATCTCCAAGCCTTGGACTACAAGAACACCATGACCATCGTCTCCCCTCCACTGCAGTGACTACCAAATTCCCCCTGTTCATGTCCCATGAAATTATATTCGATGAATTAAAAGGAGAAAGAAAAGAGATTCCTCCCCGTGGAGTCCCTCTGCAACCTCCCAGACTACCACTTCTACTGTAATTTCCACTCTCAAATATGTGGTAGAGCCACCACCCCCTCACCATGAAAACCCTAACCTTGGATGGATACTTGGTTTCACACCCAATTTCCCTTGTGACAACGTGCTAGAATGGTATGTGAACTTCCCTTTTGTCACGTGCCTTCAGTTTATGTTTTTGTGGCTCTTTTATGAGTGGTAGTAGTTATTGGAAACTGATTCTCTGATAGTTTCCTTCACTTTCAAGAGAATAAAGATTTGCAACAATGAATTGCCGCTCCGAGTTAGTAAGCCCGTGCTTGGGATATTGATTTTACATTATATAGTGACCTCTTCATCTGAAAGCCATTTTTTGTCACTTTTTTTGGACTTTAGACCCCTCTTATGTGAAGCCTTTGCCTTAGATCGTAGAACACAGAAGTAGAAAAGTTGCGAGATATTGTCTCGAAATTGCTTCTCTTGAAATATATCATTTTCTCGAAAGCCACTTGAACTTTATTGTTCATTAAATTGTTTTTTGGTGAACACTCAAAATCAGACTGAGATTCTTAATAAACCTTTATTCTTGTGCTCGCTGGATGAAATCCTAGATTACTTGTGAACTGTAAAATTTGCTTCTATCCTGCCTTTGTTGGAAGCAAGATAGGGTATGATATTCACATACTTGTTGAACATGGCCGTAGCTTAATGATTCTTGATGAATTGAATGCAGGTTAGTTTGTATATAATGTTATGCATCCAATTGATTTTTCCATTGACTTCATTTTAGGAATACGATATTGCAAGTGATAACGACAAGAATTCAAGGGATAGATTGACTCGACAAAAGCAAAATCTTCGGCGTCGATTGGGTCAGTGTTTCCATCAAGTTATACTACTGAGTTTCTTTATCCCGTCAATGAATTAGCAATCCCTTGATACTGAATTTTGAGGTGTGGTATTATCTGTTGCTTTAAGATGATGTAACACTCTGATACCTTGAATACCATTGTGATTGACTAAATCAGTCATTGATAACTGATTCTTCAGTTGTAGGCTAAGATTGTTAACATTGTGCATACTTGGAATTGGCAAACTCTTGTCTACAGAACTAGTGAAATTTTATGAGGAAAACAATGTATACTGTTCTGGTCAGCCTAATTATTTAATTTCGATATGGTTTTCCTGGAACACGTGATGCACATGGTATTAGTGGAATTCTAATCATGAGCGATTTCTATTATCTGTACATGCCTTTTAGGTCTCCCATTTTATACTCTAATTTATCTCATAAATGTGTAGAATTCCACATTTGCAACTATGAGATTACCTGAATTTTATCTTTCATTTATATTTTATGAGATTACCTGAATTTTATCTTTCATTTATATTTTTTTCCACCTATGAGCTGTATCATGCACTTTGCTGGATTTTATCTATTGTTTTCATTTTTTTTTCCTTTTCTTTTTTCCCCAACCTACAAGCTGTATCATACACTTTGCTACATGGATATGGGCATATGACCAGATGGTTATATTGTATACATGCATTGTATCATTCAAGGTGACGTCCTTACTGATATGTATTCCGGCTGATTAAAATTGAGATTCGTTGCACTTAATGGTGATTGTTGATCTTTTATTTCCTATGTTTGTCAGTTCTTCTATGATGGCATGTTTTTTTTCTTTTTTTCCCCTAGTTCTCCTCCTGAAGTGCATAACCCTAAGGTACAGAACTTTTTGCAAAAGTATGATTTGTCATTTTTATATACAGGGTTAGATGTGTGCGAGCAGTTCATGGATGTCAGTGATATGATAAGAGATGAAGACCTTCTTGTGCACAAAATTCATTCCTCTGGCAATGGAGTTTCCCTTCAGTATTTTTCATCCAGGCCTCTTCGTAATATCCAGCAACTTGTTACAAACATGGTTCCTGCCTCCAGATCTTGGAGGCCTAGTGCCAGGGAACTAAATCTCTTGAAACGTAAAGCAAAAAATAATTCAAAGGAACAAAAGAAGGGGTGGTCAAAGGATGGAGATGCAGAGGTACCACAATCACAAGATATGGTTCCTCCGAAGGGAAGCATGTCTATAGACTCCCCGAGCTCGCATAAGGTACACAAACATTTTCCCTAATTATTAGGCTCCATAGTGTCGTCAAATAATCTGATATCTGAAGATTCATACAAGTGTATTCGGTGTGAAGAACTTTCATTAATGAACATGTAGAAATTCAAAGTTTGAGATATTAATATTTTTAGTTGGCTAGTTACTCCTGTCTTTCATGATAGCAGCAGTTTATGTTTATTAAACATTAGCTAGTTACACTGTTTACTTGTGTGCATTCCCTCTACTGTGCCAAAAAAAAGAAAAAAAGAAAAAAAGAAAAAAGGGTATCTGAAGGCCTGTTCATCATTTTTTTAGCACACATCTGTAGTGCCCACTTGTGTATATGCATGTTAGCATTATTTACGACTTATTGGGTTAAACTTGCCTTAGATTGATATAGTCAGGATTCGAACCGCCACGTGTTTGTAATGCATGTGGTTTGTAGAGATCCACTAGTTTGAATACATTCATCACTTAACAAATATTGCCCTTGTTTGATGGCCATTATTTGATAAGAGCAAAGTTTGAATAGTGATTTTAGGAGAATGTGGTTAAAAAGTAGGGAAAAATTCTGGATTTACGTGTAGAATATTTTATTGTGTGAATGTGTGGTTGAAAATGAGCATATATATAGAGGAGAGTGAAAATAGTGGCTGTCAAACAGGGGCATAGTTTTCTTATGAAGCTCTCGTTTATGGAGATGCTGATGCTGTGTTTCTTCTTGATTTTAATCTTACATATAGTTTGGTTATATACCTTCGTAAAAGTTCTGAATATTCCATCCATTTGGCACTTTACCATTTGCCCAATAATCTTTTGTCTTGATTAATAATGCGTATACGGGATGCTTTTATTTCTTTGTTGCTGCAGTAAGGCACATTTGATTTCTTTTTCTATGTGGATGTTAAGAAATGAATCGTTTTTTTGTTGCCTCAAACTTTATATTCTTATCTGATCTAATGCTAAAGTTTTAACTACTTTTTGATGCAGCAACTTCCAGACGGTGTTTCTGATGAAGACAGCTTTGAGAATGATGGATATGGGGGATGGCCTTTTCAATGTTTTGTTGAACAACTCCTTGTCGATATGTTTGACCCAGGTATATACTATTTTTGGCTTTCCTGCATTTGAATTTTTTCATAATTTCAAGAGATTAATTTCTCCAATTTTGTATACTCAGTTTGGGAGGTTCGTCATGGCAGTATCATGGCCCTAAGAGAGATATTGACCTTTCAAGGAGCTAGTGCAGGAATTTTGACTGAAATGAGCTGCAAGGCGTCGTCAGTTCCACCTTTGAAAGTTGAAGATGATGAAAATACAACAAAGAGAAAGAGGGAACTCAATTTGAATCAACATGTTTTGGTGGAAGAGTTGGAGCCAGTTTTGAAGAGACCAAAGTTGGAAAATGTTTCATGTCCAGAGACTGATATAACAACCTCTGCCTCTAGTGATGGAGATTTGGGCATTTGTACAAAAGTTGAAGGTGGAGGAAACATGCCTCTTATGCAACTAAATGGGGAAACTAATGTTAGTTCCATTAAGATGGAACCTGAACCTCGTATGAATAGTGCATGCCATTCTAATGTTCATCTGACAGAGGAAAGGATTTGTACTGAAGACAAGGATTCAATGCAGAAGAAGAACATACTTGAAAATTGCGCTGAAAATGCCGAGCTTATGAACTTGGTTAAAATGGCTAGGAATTCCTGGCTGAGAAATTCTGGATTTCTGCAAGATTGTGCAATTCGTTTCTTGTGTGTCTTGTCCTTGGACCGGTATGATCTTGTTTAATAATATAAGTCAGTCATAGTTTTTTTCTTTATATTGAAGGTACTTAGTGGAGAAGTTAGCCTTAGAGGAACCGAAATCTAAAGAATCCACTTATGAAAAAAATAATTTCTTACTTAGGATTTTTCATATTATAGCAACTTTCAATTTATATCTGAAATAACCTTGTTCAGAAGGGTGTCGTCCTACATTCAGCATTTTATTGATTCTTGAGAGATAATTATAAAAATGAAGATTTACTATAGACACTATCTCCTTGTACTTTGTCTAATCTGTTGTTGGTTTTCTTCTATCTGTACAGTTTTGGAGACTATGTCTCTGATCAGGTTGTTGCACCAGTCAGGGAAACTTGTGCGCAAGCATTGGGTGCTGTGCTCAAGTACATGCACCCTACATCAGTTCAAGAGACTTTGAATATTTTGTTGCTGATGCAGGTAAATATTGATAGAAACTTTTTCACGCCATAGAAGAGACACTGCCTTTTGAGGATAACTCTGTGTTCTTTGATTGGAATATCTTTTGATTAGCACTTTGATTTTTTCAGCGTAGGCCAGAATGGGAGATCCGTCATGGGAGTCTTTTGGGCATTAAATATTTAATTGCTGTGCGACAGGTACATTTTTGTTCGATGCGGTAATTTCACTGATTTCTGTTGTATTTTTATAAATTAATTCTTACCTGTAGTTATTCTGGTTTGTTCACATTTTTCTCACTAACTACTTTGCTGCTTTTTATTGTTGTGTTTTGGTTACTTAGATTAACTTATACCTTTTAATTGCATGGACTGTGATGCAGTATGATATTTGAATTGCTTGCATTGCGCAATATTTTGTGTGGTTAAATTTTGAAGTTCTTGACTTACGTATTCAGCAATCTTGGTTGTCCATATGGATGTTGATTAGGAAAACCTTGCATGTTTTGAAAATGACAGGAGTCCTCTCTCATAACATATTTCATGGCAGCTAAAAGAATAAATTTCCTAAATGCCATAGATCGTTGAATTAGAATTCTAATCATATTAGCTTGACAGCCAGCTGACACATTTCTGCAATTGATGCTTCTATTATATATTTAGTGTTCCAAAACATAATTGTTGAAAAGAGAAATGATAATTTTTCTTCCACTTCTGCGTAGCTGAGCTGGTCTAATTTTTCTTCCACTTCTGCGTAGCTGAGTTGGTCTTCATACTTAATTTTGTAGAAAATATGGTCTAGAGGACATGCTCTGTTGAGAATTTGTTTGATACCTCATGTTTAAATTATCTTTATCAGCTTTTAATATTGAAGTTATAGTTTGTCCTCCATGGAATGATAGTAACTCTCTAACCTTAAAAATCACCTCTTTATTGGATGCAGTTCTTGCATGTCTGTTTGAACTTATGAACCCAGGTTCCAAAGTGCTGGGCTGCTGCTTTGAGTGCTTCTCAAAGAAAATATTGATAATCAAAGTTGATCTATACTGTCTGTATTATAGAGTTATATTTACACCTGTGATGCAGTCTATATTAAATGCTTGATGTTCCTTTTAGAGAATATCTTAATTCTGTTAACTCCAAATACTTGGCTGTCATTGGCATTGCATTTGAATTCCAATCTTCTAGATGGATCTCGACTGTAATGGCATATGATTATAACTGTTAGTGGCCAGTTCTCTTTGTCTCTCCAGCTTTGATTTCTCTCTTATTAATGAAAGTTGGAAACAGTTAAAAATTTCAAATTTGAGCCCTATGTGATTAAATATACACAAATACGACATTTTTGTCTAGCTCAATTCAGCTTATGATTTCTCTTTTGTGGATGCCCATTTTCTATGAAGCTTTTATCTTCCGATGAGCTACTCTAGTTGAAGATTCTTGATATGTTTCTTTGCCTTTTATACTTTTTGTAGTTTCAGCATTCTGATTTCTACTAACATCCACTGTTAATAACAGGAGATGCTCCATGAATTGCTTGACTATGTTCTCCCCGCATGTAAAACTGGGCTTGAAGATCCTGATGATGATGTAAGAGCAGTAGCTGCTGAGGCATTAATACCAACCGCAGCCTCAATTGTTTCTCTGAAGGGTCCAGTCTTGCACTCTATTGTTATGCTACTTTGGGACATTTTGCTTGACCTGGATGATCTTAGTCCATCAACCAGCAGGTACTTCTTTAACATCTTTTTCTTTGATGTTTATTTTAATATGGACTATTCTATCTTTGTAAACCGTGTGTTGCAAATACCTCTCTTTTCTTCTTCCTCCTTTTTGTTCAAGCTTTAGTTTTATTAGAATTATTATGCAATTTACTTTGTTTTTGATTGCATTATTAATAAATTATTGGCTGTCTCGTTCTTGTTTACCTCGGATAAATGTGCACCGTTTATTGCTGGTCTTGGTCTGTGTCTAATAGTCGGTAATCAAGTTGATGGGTCTTCTATGACTTTCAATGAACTGTTTTGCTGCATAGGCTCAAGGGCTATGGATATTTAATATCAAGTGTTTTTTTTTTAATCACTAATTAAGCACCTTCTCATTGTTTTACGTTGATAGTCTCTCAATTCTCGTATATGAAAGCTTCTACAAGTTTTGTTCTGAACAGGGTGATCATTATTCTCTGAGATAGGTTCTATAATCATCCTAGAGTTAGAAGGATTAAATAGATCTTCAATAATCAATAAGCTCTAGATTTGTTTTGACTTAAGAAGGAATTGGGGTTTATGAATAAACTTTTGCAGGAATCTTTTTGGGACTGTTTTAATAAATGTCTCGTCGACAGTTGGGTTTAAGGAGGCCTTTGACATTTATTGACTATTGAGATAACCCAATATGTCCATTTTGTTGAGTTGTATTTTAAGATCTCCTGTTTGGTTTTCTGGTGCTTGATCAATTTTAGACCAGTACCATAATTCTTGTGGTCCTGCAATATGCTGGTTTACTTGTTTGTTTAAATAATGCTATACTCTTACATTCAATGTTCGACACATTGCAAATTACTTGACTGTCACTACATTTAAAATATGCATAAATAGTTTCCCCCCCTCATGTTACTGGTGTTCATTACCTTTTTAGATGTCTTACTTTATTTGTTGGTGAAGCAGTTATCTATATCCTTTTAGAAATTATCGTCAAGGTCTTGCAGTCAGATCATTTATATGCTACACAATGTCCAAAGCTTATCTACAAAATAAAAATGCCTGATAATAAGGCATGAGTGGAAGAAGAGATGCCTGTGAATGCTGTCTTAGATGGACTCTTTTAATTTAATTGTTCTTTGATGATTATTTGCTCCAATATAATTTGTGTCCAAATTAATGTCTTACTGCACTCCATAGCCTGATGCGCCTAGTTTAGTTGATTTTTTTCCCTTCTTTTTTCATCAATATGTCGAATATTTTTCTTTAGGGGTGGGGTGATTCCTGGGATTTTTTCTTGGTGGTGGTGGTGGTGTTTGGGAAATAGGATTGACGAAATGAAACTTTTTTTTTGGTTCAAGATCATGAGATGGAAGAGTATTTTATGACATTTTGCAATTGCATTCAGTCGATTAACAAGTTCAGTTATTGGATAGTTTTAGTGTGGCTTTACCTTTCACCTTTTCTTTTTGACAATTTGTTATGCGTCCCTTGATTAGACACTTTGTTTACTAGATACAAACTTTCAGCTTACAGAAAATTGGTCATTTAATTTGTTATGGAGCTGCGCTGCTGAGAACTTGAAATTCTCATCGTTTAGAATAACATTTGTTGCAATTTTCAGTATATGTTGGGTATTGAACTATTACTTTAGATTTTTGGTTGGATGGGTAGG